GTTTCTTCTGACTCAGCATTTCTGAGGCTTCAAGACAGGTCTGGCTGTGTACTTTGTTCCATGGTAGGGGCAGAACACCATAGCAGGAGAGCACAGTAGTCCATGGTAGCCAGGGAGGAGAGAAATGAATGGGAAAGGGGCTGGGGACAAGACATTGCCTTCAGAGGAGTGTTCCTAGTGACCTGCTTCTTCCAGTTATGTCCTAATATTTCATTCATCTGCTAGCTGATCAATAGATCAGCCCCTTATGGTAAGGGTGAAGTTAGCACCCCCATAAAAGTGACTCTTGATGGCCTGAGCAGCTGAAGACACAGATCTATGCGTTTTTTGTTTGTTTGTTTTGGTACTGGGGACCAAATCCAAGGCCACTCACATGCTAAAGATAAATTCTATCTATTCTAACATGTGCTTAGGACCATAACGCCTACACTGCCTCTCTTTCACTTGCATTTGACTGTCACTTGCTCTTCACAATAACCCTTATGCTGGATCCATGACAAAGGGTGCCATCTTGCAAGTCATGAAGGTTTAGAGAGATTAAGCAGCTTGCTCCAAGTCCCAGTTTGGCACAGTTTATCTTCTAAAAACTGAAGGCTAGGGGAAAGTTGTCAGAATTTTTTTCTTTGGGACAGGGTCTTTCTATTATGTAGTTCTGGCTGCCCTGGAACTCAATATATAAACCAGACTGGCCTCGAACTCACAGAGATCTGCTTGCCTCTGACTCGTGAGTGCTGGAACTAAAGGTGTGCACCAACACACCAGGCTTCCCAATCTAGAGTAGCCTAGGCACAGGTCCTCCTTCAGTTCAGCCTCTCTCTTTCTCCTCTTCCTCCACGAAGACTCTGAGTGTTGATCTTGTCTTCAGAGTGGATGTTCTGTGAAGGCTGTTAAATCAACTGAGCCAGGCTCAGATTACATTCCTATAATACATTTCAGCATTTTGCATGTACAAACTAAACAAATGGCTTAGGATTATATGTTGTGTTAGAGGGAAATGTCTACTGAATAGCATTACTATTTTACCATTCATATATATGAAAATAATATACCATTATTATTTTCAGGTGGCTGACAATGTTAGTATTTTTTAGGAACCTTGATGTACATTTATTGTACATAATTCACTCGAGTAGCTGTGCTGATTTGTGATTTACATCCCTATTGTCAGGGCATCAGGAGGCCTCTGCTTTACCTTCTTTTCATAGGAAACAGAAAGAAGCAATTGGAGCTTGGTTTCAGATCATTCCAAGTCAACAGCTTCACTATGATGATACACACAACAGCCTGTGACTAACTCTTGGCATGCTGTCTGGCATAGTACAAATATTCTGCCCACTTTAACACCTTCAATGACCCTGTTTAGAGACAACATATTGGAGTCAATTTGGTTTGTAGAAGAAGTAATATTAGGAAAATGCAGGGCTGGGGAGATGGCTTAGTCCCTTAATCACTTGCCTCACAAGGATGTGGACCTGAGTTCAGATCCCCTGAGCCCATGTAAAAAGCAGGCATGGTTCATGCATCTGTAATCCCAGTAACAGTGAGGTAGGGAAGCAGGGACAGGCAGATCCATAAAACTCCACCTAGCCTACCTGGTAAAGTTTCAGGCCAGCGAGGGGCCTCATCTCAAACAATAAGTGAGAAGGCACTGGAAGAATGTACACTAGAGGCTGTCCTCTGATCACCACACCCATATTTGCACATGTACACACACATACAGAGAGAGAGAGAGAGAGAGAGAGAGAGAGAGAGAGCGAGCAGGTTGGGGAGTCAGGAAACATGGACCCTATCACAATGGTTATAGAGAATCTCCAACCAAAAGTGTTCCTTATCTTGTATTAACCTCCCCAATAGACATGGCAGCCACTCACTCCTGGACTCCTCTCTCAGAGGCATCGCAGCCTTTGATTTTTTTCTCTGTATTCCAGCAATGTGTTTGCTTAAAGGCTGTCGCTGGGACCCTATGACCTTCTGCCATCATTACATTGGAAGTGGTGCAGGGTTGGGGGCTGCCTGCCTGGTGAAGGAAGCTTCAGGATTCAGGGACCACCCTGACCTCAGTCTGGAATCAGAGGGCTCTCCTTTTCAGTACAGTCCAAAGACACTCTACTAGTTCCTAGTAACTATAAAGACTGAAAGTCCCTTTGGGGGAAGACCATTGTTTTTATTTATTTGGTTAGCTCTGGTTTGGGATTTACTCCAAACAGCTTCCGGTGTGGAGATGAGGGTTGTCACTCTGACTCCAGGGAGATTTATGGGCAAGCTCAGTGTTACACATTTCCTCCTATTGCTTTTCTCTTTATGCCCAGCCTTTTCCAGTTTATTCAGCTGCTCTCATAATTATCCCCAATTATTTATAATGGTAGGTCTCTGAAGCTGGAGTTAGAGAAACACCATGTTTTTGAGCCTTAAACATCACTTAGTGGAAATGGACTCCGGCGACTCATATGAAGTTTAAGCCCAGGTTTTCTTGGGGAATTTTTTTTCTTTAGATTTGCTTTCATCTTTACTGTTTTATTTTTCTAACACTTCATAGAGGTTGTACTATTAGGGCAGAGAAATCGAGATGGGTGTGGTGACGCATACCTGCAATCCTCGCACTTGGGAGTTTGAGGTGTAGGAAGGATCATCACACGTTTAGGACCAGCCTCAGCTACACTTTATGCCTGTCCAATTAAAAAAAAAACCTTAAATAAGTAGACACATAGTTAAATAAAGAAGAGAAGTTGGGTCTGGCCAGATGGTTCACCACATTAAGGTACTTGCTGTCCAGCCCACTGACCTGAGTATCACCTTCAAATTCGTCATGGTGAAAGGAAAAATATGGACTGCTAAAAGTTATCTTCTGACCTCCACACATGCCATGACACAGACATACACACAACACATAAGACAACACACACACAATATAATAAATTTTTTAAAATTAAAAGTTACGTACACCCAACTGTTAAAAATGACTAGTTTCTACACAGCTTAAGCCAGTTTTTCTTTTTTTGTTGTTGTTGTGTTCTTTTTCTATTTTTCATGGTTGTGTGTCTAGTGCATGCATATGCATGCATGTTCTACATGTATATAGGACCTGTGTGGATAGGCATGCACATGGGTGCACATGCATACAGAGGTTCAGGTTGATGTTAGGACTCATTCTCAATCAATCTTCCTTCTTATTCAGTGAGGCGGGGGTCTCTCAGTCAAATTCAGAGCTTGAAGGTATGACTAGTCAGATGGCTTTGAGGAACTCAGAGTCTAGAATAAAATTACAAGTTTATCTCTCTTTTTCTTCATCTGTATCTGTATCTCTCTTTATCTCTCTTTGCAGCTCATCATCATAATCATCATCTCTCTTTCTCTCTCTCTTTGTGTGTGTGTGTGTTAAACGTATGATTTTGTGTGCATGTGAGCTGGGGGCCCAATGTGCATGTGGAGGTCAGAGGTTGACACCATGATCACACTGCACCTTTTATATTGGGTGGGGGTTATTGGAGTGAGTGTGCTTGCAGACCAGAGGACAACTTGGAGGAGATAGTTTTTTCTTCCACCATGTAGGTTCTGGGGCTTGAACTTGGGCTTGGTGGCAAGTGTGGTTACCTTGTAGCTCTCCTGGCATCACTTGGCTAGATTCTCTGGGAAAGGAGCTTCAGGAATCAGACTGTCTTGGCCTAGCCTGGTGCTGGTTTCCAGGGCACCAGTCCTTTCACATGGGTGCTGAAGGCATGAACTCAGCTTCTCACATTTGCACAGCAATCCACTGAGACATGCCTCTCCCAGTCTCCTTCCTTCAGGACATCCCTGGCTGTTCATTTTGCAGCTCCAAATCTTCAATGGCTCACTGCTGCTCACAGCATAAGACGAAACATCTTAGCCGAGAATTCAGAATTAATTTGCTTCTGGTGCAAATGTGTACAAAGTTAAATTTCTCTATCTAAACCCAAAGTGTGTCTAGTTTGGGGTATGTAAACAGATCTACTCTACTGAGTTATTCCGTCTTAGTGGCAACAACCTTCTCCATTGAAGAGTTTCACCATCCAATCCTTATGCTTATTATGTCATTTATTTCAGTCTGCTCCAGCATTTCATTTTATAATGCAAATGTTCTGCTTCACGCTGTTGGTTGTTATCTGTGTCAAACTTACTCATGCCTCTTAGCCTAAGCAATAAAACAAGTATAATCATTGACCCAGATACATTGTTATGACCTTGTCCCACCTCGTTTTGTCATCAACACTTTAACCTACGATTCCACCACTTTCTTATTTACCCTCTTTCTTGTTTCATTTTTAAAACGTATACGTGTATGTGTGTGTCTGTCTGTGTGTTTGTGCGTGTGTGTGCTGGTTCCAAAGGAGATCAGAAGAGGGCTTTGGATCCCCTAGAGCTGAAGTTACTGGTGTTTGTGAGCTGCCCATGAGGATGCTGAGAACCAAACATGAGTCCTCTGGAAGAGCATCAAGTGCTCTGAAACACTGAGCCATCTCTCCACCCCCTGCCCCACCGCCCCCGCCGTTCTTAAAATCCATTTTATTAAGATAAAATATACCTATAGGACATATACCCATTTTAAGTATTCAACTCAGTGGGTATGACAAATCTGTAACTATCTCTCAAATAAGAAAAAGGAACATTTCTGTGAACTCCAAAAGTTTTTTCAAATGCCCCAGCCTAGTTGATGCTGACCCTTCCTTACCCAGGACTTCAAACAACTACAGACTAGTTTCCCATCACCTTAAAGATTTGTCTTTCCAAGAGTCCATTTTGATGGGAGTACAGAGCATATGCCTCTGGTAAGGTATAATAATTAATTCCTCTGCAAAAAATCGCATCCCAATTTAGTTTAAGTTAGCCTGCAAAGTTTCTGAAGCTTAGGAATCTGTAGGCTGTTTAGTTGGAAAGCTTCTTTTTACTATTTTATTTTTCTTTAGGACAGGAAGTTCCTGTCTCAGGTCTGTTGTGAGGTTATAGTGAAACTGACATTGGAAACCGATTTCTTTGGCTTTCAGGAGTGGACTGAAAAGACCTGCTCTCCAGGAATCCTCCAGGACTTCAGCACCAGACTGGAGCAGCAGAGGCATCCAGCCTCATGTTCTGGGCAGCTGCTGGGTTCTCAGACATCACAGCATGTAGACAGTCATTGTCAGGCTAGCCCAGCTACATTAGGTGAACTAAGCTAATAAACTCCCCTGGTAATATTGGTTCTGTTTCTCTAAGAGCCCTGATTCATGTAACCATACTCATAACTTTTGTCTCAAATGCATTCCTTTCCCTACCGCCCATCCTTTAGTAAAAGTTGTATCTTGTCTGGCAACCTTCAGATGTCTTCTGACACCTATTGCAATCATGCAGACGGATGCTGATGGATGCCACACTCTGCTGACTCTGCAGCTTTGCTTGTCCAGAACATGCCCTTGAGTTCCCTCTGTCCTGCCTGTTGATAGATTAACCTCTACCCAGAATATTCCCCAACGACATCAGGGCCTAGCTAAATCTACATGTGTTACCAGTGCAAGAACACTACCAACAGGAAGTCTGCTACTAACTGACTGGGAGGATTCCAGCCCATCACCATCTTCTAGGAGAGTGCTACTCAGTCTAAATTTTATTTGGAAGACTTCCTTCACAGTTAAATCTAGCTTGAAACCAAGACCTCCAGGGCTTAGGAGACCCTGGAGACAGATATGGGCTGGAAAAAGCTGTCCTTTGCCTCTTCCCCCTCCTTGTCCTCTCTTCTCACACCCATTTCCTTTCACACAAAGCAAGTGCTTTGCCAATGTCAAGACCGACTAACTGGTGAAACTCAGAAATAAGGCATTCGGATAACGTTTTTAAAGTTGAACATCTGAATCCCAGTCTGTGAAAATGCACTGAAGTCTATGAAAGGATGACTTAATTTTGTCCTCTCCCCCAACCCCATCCCTTTAGCTTTCAACCTGGATTTGATGGCTCTCCATCACATTAGCTTGAAGAGGGCCTCTGTTAATGCACTTAAATCTTGACCTCGAGACCCCGGTGGGTGTATAATTCCCCGTTGAGCTGTGGCTGGAGTACCACGTGGGGAAGACTTGGCCTCAGCGTACATTGGGAACAAAGCGTGTGACACCAGACACTCTAGCCAGGGTAATTTTAGCTGGTCTCTTGAAGTGGATAGCAGGTCTGTTTGGAAATCTGCGTCAATTCTCTGTTTTCCTCTTAAAGATCTCTCTGCTCTCCTTTCCGCTTTAAGTGCAACACCACCTCTGGATTTTCTATTTTAAATAATCAGCAACAGAGACAACACACACACACACACACACACACACACACACACACACACACACACACACGCGCACACACACATTTCTATAGCGAGCCCATGCCTATTGAACCTCAGCAGAGTTGCCAAGTCACAAAGGAACCTTCAAAATAACTTTTATGTAGGGGCCTTGGCTTGTGTGTGCTGACAGTTACACATTCCAGCTTGTCATTTGTCTCCAGCTTGCTGTCCTGAATGCCTCCATAGAGTTATGCCGCTTATCACCTGCTTACTATGTGACACTTCATCTGCCAGGACAAATGTCATATTTGAAAAGCCTTCCAGTGAATGGGGACAATCAAAGATTGCAACACAAAAATCCAGGCCTTTTGTGGGGGGACACATCCCTTCTTTTCTAATTCTGCTCTCCAGATCCTGCCTGCTGCTCCCACTGGATGCAAGCAGAGCATCTAATATTGTGTTCTGACTGGTAGGACACACTGTCCTATTCAGATCTTTCTTTTTTTCTCTCTTGTCTTTTCTTTTTCTTTTTTCTCCCTTTCTCCCTTTTGTCTTTTCTTCTTCCTTTCATTTTGTTTTATTTTTTTAAAGACTTCTCATGTAGCCTAGGCTGGCCTCAAACTTGCTATGTAGCCAGGGCTGACACTGAACTTCTCGGTCTCCTACTTTCTCTTCTGGGGTGCTGAGACTAAAGGTGTGCATCACCACACCTAGTCTTCTCTGTTTTGTTTTGTTTGCTTTGTTTTGTTTTGCTTTAAGGCAGTGTCTCCCTATATAGCTTTAGTTTGGCCTGAAACTCACTATGTAGACCTGGAACTCATAGAGATCCTCCTGCCTTAGCCTCCCAGGTGCTGGGATTACTGGCATGACCACTAGCTAAACTTCAAACTGTCCTTGAAACTTAAAAGTCCTGACAGTGAATTTGATCAAAAAGTGACAGTGGGGACCAATGAGATGGCTCATCAGGTAATGGTGCACATCAAGCCTGGTGATTTGAATTCTATCCCAAGGAACCACACAGTAGAACCAACTTCTGAAAGCTGTTCGCCAATTTCTACACACTCCATGCACTCCTTATAGCCTGCAACCTCCCCAAATAAATGAATTAAATACCAATGATTAAAAACAAATATTCTGCAAAAATGAGCTCTCGAGCTATTCAAAGCACCTCTGTAGACTTCTCACAAACATAGTATTTTTTTTGTTTTTTCGAGACAGGGTTTCTCTGTGTAGCTTTGCACTTTTCTTGGAGCTCACTTGGTAGCCCAGGCTGGCCTCGAACTCACAGAGATCCGCCTGGCTCTGCCTCCCTAGTGCTGGGATTAAGGGCATACACCACTAACACATTTTTTTTTAATTAAATGAGCTAAGTTCATTTGGAAGTGAGAAACTAGTGCCTATAGTTACGGCCAGAAATAGAGCACAAGCCCTAGAGTGCCTTAATGGCAGAATGATATGGTCCTAAACAGCTTCTGCTGATGTATTTCAGGGCTGGGCTACAGCCTTATGTTTATCCATACCTGAAAAGTTGCTCAGAACCTGTTTATAAAGGTGAAGGCCTTTGTCCTTTCTCTTTGGTAAAAAAAAAATCTCAAATGTCATTCGTGTCATGAGAGACATGAATTTGACTCTCAGTATCAAGAGTCCTTCCCATGTCTCAGAAATGAATTTGGGGGTGTCAAGATTATCTTGTGATCTATTTCCATACATATCTAGACTCCCATGGGTCTCAATCATCTATACCTTTTCTTTCCAAAAGGCAGAAACTGCAGCAAAATCGCATCTAGCATGAGAGTTTTTTGTTTATTTGTTTGTTTTAACAGCTTTAGTTCTCAAAGATGTATCTTCTCTGTCCATGGAGGAGGAAGCCATTGAGTTCACAAAGCCAAGTCAAATCCATGGACATAAATCTTCACGACAATCTGAAACAGCAAATCTGATCGTGTTACCCTCCTGCTCAGAATGCTTCAAAGATTCTCCAAACATTTTATGTTCAACCCCAAATTATACAGCTGAGTTTCCCAGACTCTTTTTGACTTACCCTTGATCAATTCCCCACCCCCACCTCCTCTAAGTCCGTGGTCTTGCCAGACAGAAGCAATTTTGATTTCACACTCTGCTTGCAAAGCTTGTCCCCGCCCCTCTTCTGCACCTGGTCAGCTCCTACTGTTCCTTCAGGATCTCACCTGCCCTTCTGGCATGCCTTCCTCTCTAATGTGTTCAGGCTGGGATATAGCTCAGGGGCAGAGTGCTTGTCGAACATACTCAGGGCCGTGGGTTTGATCCCAGCACCCCAAAGGAAAACAATTAAATCCTGTTTTCTTTCCACATAACTTGTGTCTACAACCCCCTCTTCCTCTTTCAGGAGGATCTGAGTGATGAGAACATTCCCAGTTTCTGCCCTTTGGAAAGAAGTATAGATGATTGAGACCCATGGAAGACTAGGAATGTATGGGAATAGATCACAAGATAATCTTGACACCCCCAAGTTCACTCATAATGTTCAAGTTTATACACACAGGTTGAAGTGATAGGAAGAACATGAACCAAGGACACACTTTTTTAAATTTATTTTTTATAATGCTAGAGATAAAATCCAGGGATGTGTCAAATGCTATGCCAATTAACTCAGCCATGGTAGGGGTGTGGGAAAGTTTGAGACAGGTTACACTCTGTAGCCCTGACTGTCATGCAGCACATTATGTAGATCAGGATAGTTTTGAACTTACAGAGATCTATCTACCTCTGCATCCTGAGTACTGGGAGTAAAGGTGTTCACCACCATGCCTGGATCCTGACAGGAAAAAAATGACAAATTTTTCATTTGATATCAGTCATTTAAGTCTCTAAGAACTCATATAGTTAGTATAGCATGCACTAATCAATGTTTTTGGCCAGTTTATGTTACAATTATTATTTAAGAATATGAATAAATACAAGTGCTAAGGATGTAGCTCAGTTTGTAGAATGCTTGCCTGGCATACAGGAAGCCCTGGTTTTTCAGTCCCCAGCACCATATAAAACAGGGCATGGTGGTGCATTCTCTCATCATTTGGGATGTAGAGGGAGGGGAATCAGAAGTTCAACGTTATCATGGGCCATAGTGCATTAGAGGTCAGTCTGGATACCGGAGACCCTGTCTCAATAGGAACAAAGAAAGGCGTGAGGGAGAGAAGGAAGAGGAAATGAAAGAGGGAGGAAAAGAAAGAAGAAAGGATAAGAATAAGTCTGTGTGTCCATTCTGGATGCCATATATGTATACACCTTTCCTGGAGTTCCTAGGTACAGGGTGGGGCTGAATTAAGCAGGTGCTTTCCACCCTGTGTCTTTAGGAGTGTTTGTGCCTTAGTGACCGGAGCAGTTTGGTGCAATGGCTGTAATTCTCATGACCATCCCCGTCTGTCTCCCTTCAGGACACTGCCCTTTCTCCCTGGGACTCCACTCCAGTCACTTAGAGTTTGTGCAACCAGCTGAACCTCAGCAAGTACCGGCCTGGAATTCCCTTGGCAGGGAGCCTGTTCTGAGACTTCTCTGACTCATAACTTTGGGGCTAACTCAGAGCACCAAGCCCCGGCCCTGCCCTCTTTTACTTTTTCTCTGAGCTGATTCATGCTGGGTTGGGATTTTATTGTTAGCAGCCATCATTGTTTATGTGTGGAACTCCTATTTTTAAAATGACAGAAGGCTGAGTCTAGTGCTTCTGCTCGATTTGTTATTCATTGTGTGATTTTTCTTGGTTGAATAAAAAAAGGAAGAAAAGAAGGAAGGAAGGAAGGGTGGAGAGGGAGTAGGGAGGAAGGAAGAAAAAAAAGAAAAGAAATATCCCACTGGCCCAAGTTAAAGCCTATTCTCTTCCATCCTTTTTTAGTTTTTCAAGTTCATGGAAAGGCTCGTCTTAGATCAAATACACACAACAGGAAGCCACAACAGAAAGAGTATAGA